ACATCTTTGCTTTTTCCATAGTTTGGCTATTGTGGACATTGCTGCTATAAACACTAGGGTGCACATACCCCTTTGGATCACTACATTTGTATCTTTGGGGTAAATACCCAGGAGTGCAATTGCTGGGTTGTATGGTAGCTCTCTTTTCAACTTTTTGAGGAGCCTCCATACTGTTTTCCAGAGTGGCTGTGCCAGCTTACATTCCCACCAACAGAAGCCAAGTTGTTTGTCTTGAAGAATTTTCCAGTCTGGATTTGCTGATTATATTTCTAGGGGGTAGTTTAATACGTTTCTATCTCCTCTATGTTTGCTTTCAATGTAGTTAGATCAGATTTAGGTGTAATATTTTAGGCAACACTACTTTATAAATTTTGCTGTCAGAAGCAATAAAATGTCTGGAAATTTCTGTGATGATTGCAGCTGTTGGTCATCAATACCTATATCCATTAATTTATTTAGGGTTGTAAAATATTTTAATTTTATCATTTCCTCTACATTAATTAGCTATAATATTTTTATAAGGAGGGACTTCCCCTCACCTACTCTCTGATTACCCAGTGGTATGGTTCACAAAGAAAGTCCTGATAAATGCTTGATTCTTTCATTTTTCAAAATAATGAGTTGATTCTCTAGTATCTTACAATGCTTACCAAATTATGTTTATTTTATTTCTTTTTTAGTATTATGAACCTGTTTTAATCCATTGTTGTTATCCTTATTGATCCTCAAATTGTCCCGTTCTTTGTCAGCCTCTTCCAGTTAGCCTCTGAGCCCCTTGACATAAACCAGGAATCTTTGACTTTTCCCTTTCTCTGTTATATCCTAACCATAGTTCAAGGTCTAACTTAATTTTCATCTCCAACATGAAGGCTTTCTAACCACACCTGTTCACCATACTTATCTTACCCCCAAATCCCTCTGGGTCTCAATGTTGTGGACTCCTTTGTCAATTGTCAGAGGCTGGTCTTCCCCAAATAACAATGCTGAGTCTTCATATCCCCAGTCCTTGGCATAAGTCTTCACATAGAGTTGTCATGTGATTAATTTGTTTGATTACTTAATACTGCTTTACTTAAGTAGACTTATAATTACATGAATTTTCCTTAGTCAAAGTTCAATGAGTAAAACTAAACCACAAACTTTATAAAATAATATCAGCAGGGGCGCCTGGGTGGCTCAGTTGGTTAAGCGACTGCCTTCGGCTCAGGTCATGATCCTGGAGTCCCGGGATCGAGTCCCGCATCAGGCTCCCTG